AGTTTCTGACATCCCTACAGTCGGTCACAGAAGTGTTGCAAAGTGTCAGTCCTGGTGATTGGTTTCCCCTGAGCAAGCAGAGCATTTATCAGCAGATAAATACAATTTTTGCCTTGAACAGTGGAAAAAAATGAAATGTAAACTGGATTTCTTTCCCATTGACTGTTTATTTTTCAATGTATGAGGATATTTTTTACAAGAAAATGTGACATCTCTGATCCCATGCATCACTTAAGAAAACAAAATCAGATTCTTCCAATTTGAAAATAACAACAGGAATAGGAGATGGGGGACTGTTTTTTGTATTGATTTTGACTTCTGAGTCATAGAGTTAGGAGAAAGCCCTATGGTAAAAGTATTAAATGGAAGGAAAGCAAACTGATAATGAACACAAGCTGCAGATGAAAGACTGCATTTCAACAGGGCTCTATTTCTCCATATACTAACCATTAAGAGACCTGGGAACTCACAGCATGGTGCTTATCACACTATGGCAAAGAAGAATTAGGACCACACAACATCATGTTCTCTATTTCAGCCACTCAGCCTTTAAGTAAGTCACTGTATTTGACTGTAGTAAATTCTATTGAATCACTGTGATAAATTGGCTAATGATTAAGTGCTGATTAACTGCTACTAACCTTGCAGTTTACTGCAAAACTATTAATAACCTGTAAATTGCTGTTAAAACTCAGGTTGCATACAATCAATCTGTGACAAACGTCTGTGTCCTCATGTTGTACCTCTTACAACACCAATGGAGAACATCAGGAGGCTTCCAGGAGCGTGTTCCTTCTTTCTTCATTGACCCTACAGAAAGATTGGGTTCCCTGCTTAAGTGCTAAAGCAACCCCTGCTAAAGGGCAATGAAGAAAAACCTTATTCTTCCTCTTTGCTTAGCTGCCAAAGTCCCTTAACCAAAATTCTCCAAGATTCCAATCTTGGATCTAAAGTCAAAGGAGCAAAATTATTTTTCTTTCTGAAATTGTTTTGCTTTATATCTGCAGAATCAGCTCAAAGCGGGATTTTACCCTATGTTTGCTGTGTTCTCACATTCCTGGTTCCTTCCCTAGGACTTGCTGCTGCCTCTTGATATGACACTTACTGCTCCTGGAAGTGCCATGTTACTGGTGCTGAAAGTCACACCTCTTCTTCACTTTCAGTGTTTGTGTTTATGTCCTCCACACATTTGCTGACCCAAAGGCATGTGAAGTTGCCACTGTCAAACACCCTCATTTTCCTTTCCTTGCCTGACCCCAGTGTTGAAGCCCTTTTCTCAGTGCAGAACCTTTAGCAATGCTCTAACCTGGGAGTTATATTTGCAGTGAGCTGTGCTGTCACTTATCCTGGAGAAGTTTTGTGCATGAAATCCACTTTCCTCTTGCACAGAACAAGTGCTTTCCATAAAGCAAGGCCACTCACACTGTAAGCCCAGAAGCAGCAAACAGAAGGCAAGAACTCACCTTACAAATAGACCTCCACCACAAGAGAAATTGCAGCGAGCCAGCACTTCAGATGTGCTAAAGAGCTCCATCAATTGCACTGATAGGAAGGGGGGAAACTGCACGAAGAATGGACTAAACGCTTCATATTTGCTACGGATCTTAGGATATACATATATATATTTTTAATAAGAGCTTTAGTGGAGGGATCACTGTTTTCCCTCCGGCAGAGGCACAGCTGAGCTGGGCCCTTTGTTTCCCCCTGCTGCGTGGTGGAGCTGCCCGAGTGGGCTGTGGCTGCAGTTGTGGGAGTGGGAAACGAGGGGGGTTCAGCTCTGACGGCTGTGCTTCTGCATCCCACATCCCTCACCCTGCATCACTGCATCCCACATTCCTCAGACTGGCAAGAGATGTGCAAATGAGAGACTGGGAGGAATAAAGGCATCATCCCAAAGTGGGCTCTCCCTTTGGGCTCCTGCTGAAGGCTGGATTTCGTGGTCTCACAGCCCCATCTCCCACGTGTGCTGGTGAAGTGCTTCAGATCCTGCAGCGCTCTCAGGTAAGGGACCAGCTCTCAGTGGGACCCTGCACCCTTTGGCACATCGGGTGGGAGCTGAGGCTTTAGGAAGCATGGGAAAAGCTGCCTGCTGTGTTCCTCGCTCCTGTATGGGGCATCTGAAGTGGGGAGTGGGCACAGCTAAGTTGGAGCAGACTGAATACTGAAGGATAAGTGTGGAAAAAAATGGTCCTCATTTGGGCTCATGCTGTGGGTCACAGTACTCTTCTTCTTTTGACCCACATAACTGAAACATTTAGGGTGAAAATAATGACCAGCACAACAGTTTAAGCTAAAGCTGCTCAAAATAAAGAGAGGACCAGACTGTAGGGTCCATGATGCAGGGACTGAGCTCCACTGCTAGCTGGGAACAGCTCCTGAGAGGTGAGCCAAAAGCCTGCTCTTGTCTTTCACATTTTTCTTTTTCTGGCTTTGACTGTTTTCCCCTTTGCATGTGACTTTCCCAGCTCTCCAGCAAACTGGGAGCAGGCACCGTGTGGGGGGCAACCTGAGCTGCCTTTGCATGCCATGGGTCTGCATGCTGCACCACAGTTTCCTGCAAGTTTCAGCCAACATAAACTCAGTCAGTGCCAGTTCCCAACATCAGCAAAGCCATCGCCTACCTGCCTGCCTGTTGAATGGCACTTCAGCACCCTCATGCACTGGCATGCAGGAAAATATTTATCTGCAACACTCAGCAGCTTCTGCAGATAAGCTGAAAGTCTGGGCAATGGGGCAGCATGCGTTTATCTAGGGGAATTTTGTAGGGATTTGTCAGTCCTGCAGCAGTCAAATCTGAGGTCTGAGGGATAGGTTGATGCCCTGTCCTAGCAATTATGTGCATTATGCCCTTGTGTGAACGTTCTGTTCGTAGCCATCACGATTTGCTTTATCTTACGTGTTAAACTGCAAGCCCAGAACTCTCTTTCGGTCATTTCTGGACTCCATCGCTAGATGGGGACATGCTCACGTACACCGAGTCCTCCCTCGGTTTGTCCTCACTTTTTTTACTTTAGCGTAAAGTAAGAGTGAATTTAGATGGAATACATTTTACCCACTGCTTACAGAAATACAGCATTCCCATCCACGCACAGTCCTGCTCAGGACAGTTTCGTGCCCAATCAATTTTTAGTACAGCATTAATTTTGTTAGCAAGGCTTCTGTAAGAAGCCACAAAAGTAATTCTAGAGATGAAGCTATCTGAAGGCTGTATTATTGATCTCTTTACATAACTGGGAATATAATTGTCAGTAGCCAGTGGCATACTCAAAATTAATGTCTATTTATGCACATTCTAAGAGCAAACATTTACCAAATCTTTTAAAGTTTAAAATTAGGGTATCAATTGTTTTTGAAAACTACCAGTTTCCCTTTCTTCTTCCTGTTTTCCCTGAGCATGCAACACTGCTCATTTCCTTTCTTCAAATATTTGTCAGTAGTTGCAATCCAAAGCCCAGATTTTGCTCTTTGGAGGAAGGTCGTGGTGTCTGAAGGAGGAGTATGCCTTCCTTGAGGACATAGACAATCTCTATTCCAGGCTCTTTATCATCTTTGTGGTCTCTTTGCTTGCACATCTCAGCCATATATGGTAGGGATTGGACATGTGATGGTGTGGGGTATATGGCCATGCGTTGCCGGGCTGGTGCGAGTTTGTCTTCACCTCCTCTCTAGGGCCTTGCAATCCTTGTAGGGTTTGGGCCAGCTTGGGTTCTGCATGCACAATGAGAAACTGCTGGAATGGGTTTCATGTCAGCCTGGAACAAAACGTGGCACACTTAAAATACTGGTTTTTAGAGAATTTAAAAGAAGCTGATTGGGGCATCTTCCTCCATTCCTGCCTCCCCCACATGCACTCCTGTCCCCTTTGCTACTTTGGCAAGTCTGAAATACAGAGTCCTTTGCTGGGAACCCAGCAGAGCTCTTATGATAGGTACATACATAAGAAGTGAAAAATGGTTTTGTACAACAAGTATCACGATTATCACAGATAACAAGCAGCTGAGCAGAAATGACCTGCAGCAACATAACTAGTAGTGGGCTATGCTTGGTCTTGTTCATCTTCATCCTAGTGGGCTCCATGTCCTGAGACCAAAGGGAGAGGAGGTGTGATTTGGGATCTCTTTCTTCCAGTACTTTAGCCATCACCCATATGTCCCTTTCTGATCAATATTTCTTCTGCACCTCAGAACAACCCCAGTCTCATTTTTCTCCACCTATTCACCCAGTTGGTGCCGATGGTGAACCTATGCTGTCCTGGAGGCTTGGAGGATGTACACATGTGTATGAGAGCTTTCCAAACTCCCATGAACACTCCCATCAGCACTGGATTGGACTATTTAACCGTCCGGTGCTGTTTTATGCCCAGCCTGGATGACTCACTGGCTGCTCATCCCTCACCCCACATCATAAAAGTTTTTCGTTACAAAGACCTACTTTCTAATCCAGCTACTTTCTAATGAAAGGCATTTTGTTCTGAGCTTGCTGAGGTTTGTAGTTTCCATTCTACGTTCCTCTTCAGAATACTCCCTGATCTCAAAAGTATCTTCTTCCCCTCTTTTCCCCTTTTCTTTACTTCACTTTTGCTCACTAAATAATATTTGCAGAGATCTGCATTGTGTAGCAAATTGTACCTCCATCACTGAGCTTTCTCACAAGGTCAGATGCACTTTGTGCTTCTCCAGTTCCAACCAAAAGCGAGGGCTCTGGTTACCCCCAGCCCCCTACTTACCAGAATCTTTGGCAGATGTGTACATTTTCCATGGATATTGTCCAATTCTTCACAATGACCCAGATCCAGCACTGTACAAACTGTGCGTGAGTAGGGTGGCAAACAGCAATGGGCAAGGCAAGGAGCAATGGAAAAGCAGGTTTTATGTCACTGAAAACCAGACTTGAGAGGCTGTGAAGGCCAGAGAAGGAAAGCATCTCCCAGGGTATTTGACTCTGAGTGCGTCATGATTTGACAGCTACTGCCTGCATTTGGGGCTGATCTGGGGGGGGTCTTTGGGGTAGTGAAAGACTACTGAAGTGTGTGAATCATTCTGAGCCAAGATATTTAGTTAGTTGAAGACACTGCTTATGATTTTCATAACTGTATTCACTTCTGTATCCCCACAGACAGCCCAAAAGGTGCTTCAAAATGCCAGCCGGCCTGGAGAAAGCTTGTCACCGCTGCATATCCAAAATTGCCAGCAATGGTAAGGCAGCTCTGGAAGTAACCTCTCTGTATTTAAACAGCCCCACAGCTAATAGAGATAGGTCTAGAATGAAGTTAAGGTGACATCAAGTCCCACCTGAATTTTCCTTTACTTCCCTGCTTTTCTTTTCCTTTCCTAAGTGATTTTAATAATTTTGCTGATAGAGCATCCAGCAGCAGTTGCATCTCTAAAGTATCTACCTCTACTGTGTTATGTGAATTAGAGCAGGTTGAGCACAGAGGGTTAAAAGCCAATATTTTTAAAACTCCCACTGACTGTATCTCCTTTTCACTCTGAGTTGCACACAATTTTTGCTTTCACTTTTAATCAACAGCAGTTTCTAATTCCACTCAGATGTACAGAGAAGAAAACTCCTTCATCCACTTGACCACTCAGCCTAATTGATACTTCACCCATACAACCGATTGCAGTCATCAGCCCATGGAGATCACCTCAGGGTTTTTTATATGAATTTCTTTGTCTTCACTTGAACAGCTCTCAAAGTTCAGAACAAACTTTAACTTGTGATTAAGTCACATTGTTCCTTGCTGCCTTGCAGTCCTTCAGATCAAACAGCAGCACTGATGAGTCCCAAGTGCTTTTTAGCAGGAACGGTTCTAGGAGAGCAAAATTCAGTCAAGCAGCTGGGACTGCTCTTGGGGCTGGTGCTGGAAGAGCAGCGGGGAATTGACCAGAGGTGCATGGAACAAAAATGCAAATGCATTGTCCTCTGATTTTTGTAGTTAGGAGAAAAACGTCACTGCTTCCTGCTGGTACCAGAGCTTTAATGATGGCTGAGAAAACAAAAGATCTTTCTGAACGTTTTTTGAAAGAATGGGATTAGTTCTGATCTCATGCCTGCTCTCTTACCTCAGGAGCACCTTCCTGGATACCCACAAAGTCACCCATGTGTAAAGCAACTCATAAATACCACCCCAAGAAACCCATCATCTTTAGTTCCTCTTTACATTTAAGATTTAAGTTCAAAATCAACTTGGCTTTAGCTATGGATCAGCCAGTGCATCCCAAACTGATTTTCTGTTTCTTAAAATGTAAACTCTCCTGAAGCCACCGGTGCTTCATTTCATATTTTCTCATCACCCTGTGTACATTTTTCAAATTGCATTTCAGCACAGCCCACATTGTACCTATTGTTTCCTGATATTTAAATGGTTCTGAAGAGTCACTGAACTTGTGCAGCATCATTTACATTATTTTCATTCTTCATACAGCAAGTTCAGAACATTAGGGCAATATTAAATAACTGACCACAAAATAAAAGGCTAATTGACTATTCTGAGTCTCTTGAAAAGCAAATCAGTGGCTCTTTATGCAATGCCTACACTGTATTTAAAAAGTGCATCTGGAAATTAAGCACAAGGGGCCAAATTCAGCACTGAAGTCATGACATAGCTGTAATTTAGTAGCTAGAGACATGGTATAAAATTCAGACAAGCTGTTCTGCAATATTGCCTAACCCCCAAAGAGCCTATAATCTTTATGTATAAACCCTCACCATTCAGTTGAATGTTCCCAGGTTACTGGCACCTCCTTCCAAATTGTTGCTGAGGAGAACAGCACTGCTGGTTTCAGTGCTGCAACCAGAAACTGAAATTGTAGGTGTTGTGACGCTGGCACAGCTTACTTGGGTACACAGCTACTGGTTACCTGTTTCACAGTAATACAAGCTTTTCTAAGCAGACAGTGATGAATGGCATATAGCAAACAGCTGGAGACTGAGGTCGGATTTGGTCTGCAGCTCAACTTTATTGCACTCTCTTCGCCTCCAGTGGTGACTTTGCACTGGAACTGGAGACTTCTCCAAGGCCCTCTCAATCTTGTAGAGGTTTCCTGCAAATACCATAAAGGAGTAAAAGGTGGATGAAGATACCTGTGACTCTGTTACACTGCTACTTTCCACACTGCCCTATAGCACACTGTGACACTGCTTCCTAAGTGCTTTCCACATGCATCCTTGCAGCATCCTCCAAAACTGCCTTAATGCACTCCCAAAATGAGTGGCCCACTTCCCAGAAGAACCCTCAACATGATGTCTGGGTTAATTGAGGTTAATGATGGATTCTAGCTTCTTCATTCCTATTTCAGCTCCTCTTTAATGCCGATTTCAAGTCATAGGATCATAGAATCATCGAATATCAGAAGTTGGAAGGGACCAAAAAAGAATATCGAGTCCAACTCTCAGCTCCACACAGGACCACCCATAATTCAACCCTATGTCTGAGGGCCTTGTCCAGATGCTCCTTGAATTCCAGCAGCTTGGGCCCATGCCCACCACCCTCTGGTGCAGACCCCTTCCCTCACCCCCAGCTGCCCTCCCCTGACGCAGCTCCATGCCATTCCCTCAGCCTCAGGCCCTGTCGCTGTCACACAGAGCAGAGCTCAGCGCTGCCCCTCCGCTCCCTGTGAGGAGCCGCAGCCACCATCGGGCCTCCCCTCAGCTCCTCTGCTCTGTGCTGAGCACACCGAGGGACCTCAGTTGCTCCTCATACATCTTCCCCTCCTAACACTTCACCATCTCCATAGCCCTTCCTTGGACACTACATTCTTCTTATATTCTGGTGCCCAAAGCTGCACACAGTGCTCTAGATGAGGCTGCACCAGCACAGTCATCTCAGAGGCTGCCATGTGCATCCGCATCTGAGATATCAGACTGTAAACCAAATTTACTGACATCCACACTGCTGCAAGTCAGCCCCTTTCAAAGCAGAGTCCTGTGCGGGTGAGAAAGGACTGCTGTGAATTTACACCCAGACCTTTGTTCCTCAACTTGCCCATGAAGATAAGCCCAGGAGTAAATGCAAAATTTGGAAAAGATATTCTCCTTTTTTATCAAAAAGTTGGTAGGTCATAGAACAGTGTGACTAAAGTACCCAACACCTTATTTATTGTTATGTATATTGTCAGAGAGCTTGTCATACGGTCTCCTGAGCAGGTTGCACTACTGCCATACTAGCATACCATTCACAAAGTGAGTAGATTAATATCTATTGTCATAAATCACTTCAGATCAGAAGAGAGACCATGCCACATAGCCATGGTGTTGGTGGTGACTTCATGCTCATTTACTTCCGTGCAGTGGAAAAGTGTGGGGAGCTCTGGCAGGAGACTGAAAGCTCAGCTAAACTGGGTTTACGGCATTGAGAAGTCCTGCTGGGCAGGAGGTGTTCTGCACCACCCTGCTGATTTTCCTGCCCACAGATTTCAAGGAATGTGCAAAATGGAAAGCTGCTCCCTCTCCTCTTTCTCTGCTGTGACTGCACATTAGGGTTGCTCAGTGTTGCTTCCCAAAGCAGGGCCTTGCTCATGTCAAACACAAAATGGCTGCCCCAGCAGTGGCTCTGCTGCCTGATGCCCTGACAGCAGCTCCTAGAGCAGGTGCTCTTCTGATGTTTCTCTGAACCATGCCTGGGCTCATTTACCTCACTCAACTGTGGTTTTAGAGACTGCCAGTCTTTTCTTGCCTCTTTTTCTAGGATTGGGTCCCAGGGCTCTTCTGACTGGCTGGTGTGGTGATACTGCTGACTTAAAGCTATTGCCAGCAACATGTGTGAAACTGCATGGACAGCAGCTCCCTCTGCAGAACTGCCTTGCTACCTTGCGGCAAATTGCACTTTATTGAGCAATTTGTCTTCAGACCAGACTGGGGCAGCACAGTCCAGGCAAATGCAGGCTGAGTGTGTGTGTCCTATTTGAGAAGCATTGCTCTGAACCCCCTCCCCCCCCTCAACGAATTGGGGAAAACGGTCTTTAGCTCTGCCAGTTGTGTAGTCAATTGTTGAGAGTCTCACTTTGTTGAACACAGCGCTGGAAGCCTTCCCAGACGATGCATCTGCCCCTCCAATTCCAGACCTAAGAGGCTAAGGCTGAATGGGAAGATAATGAGTAAATACATTCCCAGCGACTGCTGTGGGAGGAGAATTAATGAACCATTATCTTTTTCTCTTGAGCCACAAGTTGTCCCTACCTCCCATTTCTCTCCTCCAAAATCAAGCTTCTGGGTAGAGATGCTAGACATATGCGAGCCACCTGTGTACCAGATGTGTAGCCCCACATAAATGTGGGCCTTGCTGAGCCTCTAAGGGCTCATCACAGCATCCCTCCCCACGGATCCATGCACTGCCTGGTGAAGGAATGGCATGGTGCCACCTCCAACTTGTTCCTGCAGGAACAGGAGGAGGTGATACCTCCACTAGATTGGTGACTCCACTCAGAGCTGCTGATAGCACTGTGATGACAGGACCTAGGGCAACACTGGGGAATCGATGCAGCTCCTGCCCACTTCAGCTGCGTTCATTTGGACGCTAGGTACGTTTGTTGAGATGGGCACTGCTTGCTGGTGATGTGCATGGGTGTGTTTGAAGTCCAACTGAACTTCAAACACTGCTGTAGCCGATGAAAATCATAGTCTAGATAACATAACAGCAAGAGTGTCTGGCATGAAATGGGACACTTGGTGAAAAGGAAGGGTCTGGGGTGTCAGTGTTTGAAAGAGCTTAGTCAAGGGTAGGATATCACTCAGGCAGAGGAGGAGTTTCTGGTCTGTGCCGAATTCAAGACATGGGAGAGCCAGAGCAGGAATGTGTGTGAGAGAGGCCAGCCGGCAGAGAGAGGAGGAGGAGTGGCACAGAGGAACAGAAGTGCTTTCTTCAACTCAAAATATCTTCAGTCTCCACCAATTCATAGAGATAAAAAACATGCTGCTTCTGAGAAAGAGAGTCATCTCTCAGGCACAGAAGTATGAGCTCTATGCTCCCTGTTAAGGAAACACGAGCACTGTGTGGTTGGGGGGGCGGGGGGGGCTTGGGGGTGGGTTCCTGTGAAAAGTGACTGCAAGGCAGAAAATCCAGACTATGATGGTGCCACGATGTGCTCTGACTCAGTTTCTCCTTCTGGCAAATGGAGGCAGTGCTGTTTCCCTATTCCTACAAGCACCCTGATGGTGATGCTTTGACAGCACTGCACAGCCATCCTGTGCTGCACTGCACAGCATCATGACACAGACAGTGGGTTCAGTCCTACATTGCACAAAGGGAGCAAATTGTTTGGCAGAGGCTGCAGTGCTTTTCTTAACCCTTCTGCAACTTATGCCTACTTCCACAGTCTATGCCTACCGCACATTTGCTTCCTTAGGCACCTACTTACAGATCAAGAAGTGCTCTGCAGGGATGCTCACTGCAGAATTTCCTCATTATGCTTCCCCCTCATTTTCTGGAGCAGCATCTCACTTTAATATTGCAGAGTGCCCATGATGAGGCACAGAGGTGGCAGCCTTTGCAGAAGATAGGCTGCTCACATTGTTATTGACACTATCATTTCTGGTTTTCTGCAAAGGTAAGCACTCATCCTCAGTAGCATCAGACTGTGCTGGGAAAGTATCGGGATTCAGAAACAGCAGCAGCTCTCTGAGGAGTAGCTAAGCACCTCAGACCCTCTCATACAAGGGAAGAGTTGATGCACACCCCTAGAGCATCCCTCCATGGAGCCAGAGCTGATCCCTTCCAGTGATAAGCTGTTCCCTGTCTTTGTGTCCATGTGCTGAGCTAGGTCAGAGAGCCAGACTAACCCTGAACTCTTCACTTGTGCAATAGAGATCACTTATTTAGCTATCAGGGAAAACCGAGTGTAATGGCATTACAGCTGCTATTTGCTTTGCAAACAGACACGGCTCATCAGTTGCCATGGATTAGCTCATGCGAGCTGCTTGTTATCACACAGTAACCTGGCAGTGTCTGAAGCTGGAGCAGGCTAACAAAGCCTTTGCAAACAGATATTTAAAAGTAGTAGCAGCAAAAGTCTTTGTGTCTCTCATTGTTTTATTACTAATGTAAGAACTAAAATGTATTAATTAAAAAAATGGAGGCTTGAGCTCTGGAAGAGCAACAGGCCATTTCCTGGTCTTGTCACCTCAGATGCTGCACAATAAATGTGATATTCCCCCTGCATCATGTACACTGCAAAACACTGGATGGAACTTCTAAACTCCAATAACACTGTCTTTATTTTCTCTCTCTCTCTTTTTTTTTTTTTTTTTTTGCTATTCACAGCATGCTTTATATTTGGGCTCCTTGCTTTCCTTGCCTTACCATTGTCCATGACTTTTACAGGTAAGCTGACTACTGAAGCACTTTTGTAATTTGAATTTCCTGACACTGCCTGGCAGGTTAATGCATCTTGTGGGAGAAAGGAGTTGGAAACCTTGAAGTTTCCAATCATTAAACTTGTGCATTGGTAATTAAGCTTCAGACAGCCCGCACCGTATGGAGGGGAGCAAGCAGTTCTTGAATTCAGAAACTACTTGTCTTAAATACACATCCAGTGTGGGTACTTTAGCATGGGACAGAAGTCAGAACATTTGGACACCTTACTGATACATCTTTGTAATCTATCAGGGTCTGGGTTTCTTTATATCTAACCATAACTCTGAATTTTCTGGCAGTGCACTGCTTATTTGGAGGGTATCTGAACATTTTCCATTGTTGGGCTGGTCCAGATAACCTCTAGAGGTCCCTTCCAACCTAAACCACTCTGTGACTTCTTTTCATCATGAAGTTGCTGATATGTTCTGTGTCTCAGATCTATTTTAATTCACTTTTTTATTGGCGTGTTTGCTTCAGCTCAATTGCTGCTTAGGCTACCAGCAACTGGCAGAGGTCTGTGGGTGTTTCAGCTCTGCCTGTGGGTGGAAGCTCAGCATCCGACATATGAGAAGATTTCATTAATCAGGCTTCCTCTGTATTAACTGCACTGCAAAAACCCTAGAAGCATAGGGCTGGAAGGGAAGACAAGATTGTTTAGTCTGCTATTTCTCCACCTTTTTGAAAGTGCGACCTGTTTTTTGGCTCATCTGTCTTTTTATAACCACCCGAAGGCTGGCTTTGCAAGTAGAATTAAGGATCAAATGTTTAAGAAAGGAAAGGAAAATATTTTGAGCTGCAGAATGTTAAACATTTTCAAACTGTATAAAGCTCTTTTCTTTCCTAAGGATCAGTTTTCTCTTATCCTTAATAGAGGGTTTTTTAAGGCACATTTTCTAGCACATTTTCCAATACCTTATTGCTTCCTTTGTGCCCTCCACACCCTCCACAGGGGCTGTGACCCTGACTTGAGGCACACAGGCAGAGGTACCATCCTGCCTCCCCTTTCAGACCAGCTCATGTGCTCAGGACCCCTCTAGCAGACCTGGGGCTTCCCCTGACTCAAGAAAATTCCACAGCTTCCCACAGAGCCTATTTTCAGCATCTTATTGCTCTCTCAGACAAAATAATTTTCCACACATCCAACCTAAGTCTCCCCTATGGCAAATGAAATAGACTGTAGCCTGTCCTACACACAAAGATACATTGGTGACTGTCCTACCCAAAAGAAGCTTTGAAATATTTGAAGGTTCCTATTATAACTCCCCTCCATCCTTTTTCCAACTCCAATTCTTCCAACCTGACCTCACAGGTCACTTTTTCTGTAGCTTTCTTATACGTTTGCCTTCCTCTTTTGGCCTCTGGTATGCATAGCTGATTTTTCCCCCTCAAAAAATATGACAGAACACAAGACTCAGCTGAGACCTGAGGAATGAGCAGCACAGAATAATTAGCTCCTCTGTTTAACATGCAGGATTCCTGTAAATGCACCTCAGAAGGAAAGATGCTCTCTGTACCAACTCATCAGCTCTCGTTTAGCTTGTGGTGCATTACAAGACCAGATGGTTTCTGGCAGAGCTTTTCCCTATCAGAGATTTCTTGTTTTTTATTTACATTTAGGTTTTCTCTTCTAGATGCAGTTCTCAACTTTATCAGATGTCATTTCTTAGATTTTGAAAGTCTTTTTCCAGAGTATCCGGATACTAAATTTTAAGTCTTGTCCTCAGAAGCCCTAAAAATCATTCTGTTTTGGTGTCCTTGAGAAGCTGTTCACTGTCTGCCTTATAATTAAAGAGTGATGGTGCAAATGAGCTCTATATACAGGCATTGTGAGTGGGATAAATCACAACTCGATCTGGACTGTACGTGGCTGTAACCAAGCTCAGTATTCTGTTTTGTCCTTTGTCAATTAAGGGAAATGGGCATTTCTGACAGTGAAATTCCCACAGCCTCCTACCGATGTCTGCAATAAGATGAGATTACTTTTGAGGGACTCTGGACAACGAGCCCAACTGTAGGCATCTATTTTTGGCCAGAAATGTGAAAAAATGGGTTCAGCTGAATGCCAACCCTGCTTCCTTTATCTGGGGTCTTCCCAGTACCAGAAGTGACTGTGATAGGGCTCTGATTACGGAGTCCTAATTAGGAATTAGGGAGTTCTAATTAGGGATTAAAGAGCAATTAGGAACCTGAGAGATGGCCTCAACTGTTCCATCTCAACACTTAGTCTCCTATGCTTATCCATGACTTAAAATTGCTATTCATCCCATAAGAGGATTTTGGCTTTAGCTTTTCCCCAGGCTGAATATGCTTGAGCTGTGGAGTAGGGGTGAGAATGTATGATTTCAAGTGTGGTACAGTTTGTGTGCATGTTGACAGCAAGCCTTCTGGAAATGGATCCACACTAGAATCTGACTGCTTTTAAATAATGTTTCTTAGGGATATTTTATAATACCTTGAAGATCAGTGAGAAACGGAAAGTGCATGGTAAGATATTAGCCTGGAGTTGTGGTCATCCCCCCCACCAAAGACAGAGCCCTTATTTTTCCACAACTCACCAAAATTAAGAGATAATGTCACTGTGATATTGTATTGTCAGACAATATTCTGCAGCTGCGTACCTTCAAAGGTATTTTTAGAAAAATTATATGTCAAGGAAAATGCAGGTTTTTATTATCCAAGCAGAAGCCTCTGATTTTTTGATAACAATCTGTTTTCGATTGCAGAGATCATGCTGATGCACCTCCAGTCATTTTGGCTCATGCTTTCTGCAGAGGGAAACTGAGATATTTTCAGATGTTAACAAGAAAATTACAACATTATAAGTTAAAACACAGTGGTGAATTACTGGTAGCCCTGATAACAATTACACACTAACAGTGTACATTTTAAAATCTTGGTAGTACTGTAAATCATAGTATAGATTTTTTTAAAAAGTCCTTTGTTATAAGGTGCATTTCAGCCATTTTCAGCTGCCTGAGAAGAGCAGAGTAGCTACAACAAGGCCAATGCTGTGTGCCAGGGCAGGTTACTGGGAGCACTGGATTCACAGCAGAGCTTGGATTTCTCATGGTCCATCTACCCCATCACCAAGAGCCAAAGAGGAGCAAAGCTGGTGCTCATGGAAAGGAAGCACTGATGCTCTCCTGCTGGTCTTGGTGTTCCCAAATAAACCACACGCTATGTGTGAATTGATCTCTGCATTACACATATGCCTCAATTTCATTGTAGCAAATGTCAGTGCTTATCTGCCAGCAGTAGGTCCATATTTCCTATTCACCCACAGTACTGTATTTTTAAAGTTATAACTGTACTAATTCCTTTCATCTTCTCTTTTGCTGTCATATCTGCCTGAAACATTCTCCTCAAAACTACAGAGTAACACTGCCTGTCATTCAACTTGTTCCCAAGTCTGACTGCTGTCATGTTACATATATGAAAGGATTCCATAACAGATTGGTCTGGGAAACAGAATCTTAGCTCCATGAAAAAAAAAATTGGCATGTTTTCTTCACTATTTTTTTTCTCTGAACTCAAAATCTCAGTAGTGCATTGGAAACAGCAATTGTCTGGGTTCCTACACTTATACATATTCCCTAAGATCCCTGGCCAGCTGCTTCTGAAGCAGGCTATTATATGGCCAAGGACTCTGGAAACACTGGCAGCTGCTTTCTGAAAATGATAGAATTTTCAATGATTTCCCTGTTTCCCACCTTTTTAAAATTGGGAGTCCGAATAGGTTTCAGTGTTAAAATGTGGCAAAATGGACAAAAAATTGCAGCCATAGAAACGGCAGACAGAAAGGGAGTCCAAGTCCATCCAAGTCCAGCCCTTTTCAATTACAAGAGGCTTAGTAGTAAATATTTAGTCTAGAATAATCCATATGCCACTCCATAGCAAGTTACTGCATATTATGACTAATGTAAGATCCATAGCAAAGCAACCACAATCCAGGATATGCATATTATGCTATGCAAGAAGTACAGGAGAGGTTTAGCACACCAGCAATGTTTAGCACACCAGCAATGTTCTGAAGTACACATAGCAGTGGATTTGGTGGGGAAATCCACCAAATCCACTGAAGAGGACCACAGCTACAGAAGAAGGCAAAAAAACCCAACCCAAACAACAACAAAAAATCCAAACCCACTCCCCACTGACATCTCTTTCCTGACACCAAACTGCCTTTTTGATGTAGTTTTGAACATGAAAACAAGACGTTCCACCAGAGAGATGTCTAGCATTAAGGCCAGCACATTGCTTTAAGTGTCCTGCACCAAGATGACAACCAATTGTTAAGAGAAAAGTAAAGAAAAAATTCCTAGAAAATGAATTTTACAGCAAGTGGAAAACAGAACATCCTTTCTGTCTTCTGCAACTGAACAGTAGAAGTCTCGAAATATGGGATCAATGACAATAAAATTATAGGGTAATGAAGAATTTAGAATTATTTAAAGATACCAGTGAGTAGGAGACTTGGGCAAATGATTCAGCTCAGCTAACTTTAGGTACTTACAGCTGGCTGTCTAGATTCCTTGTATAGTTATAGAAAGAAAGAAGCACTTTCAGGGCACACTTCATCTGACCTATTTTAAATGCCTATCTTAGGACGAGATGAATTGAATTTTAGAAGGGTCTATTTCTCCCTATTGACTATAAGGAGAGTCTAGGAAACTAGTTCAGATATAGATGCCTGCATTGCAGACATCTAAATTTGGACAGATGAGTCTCACTGCCACAGACCTGTATCGTAAGCTTCAGTGTCTAATGCCAGCATCAGCCTTGTACCACCATACATTTCCTTCCCTAAAACTTACTTAGCTTTCTCATTCTAGCAGTAGATTTGAGGGTTGCCAGGATCCCCAGCTCCATAACAACCAGTGCTTTTTATCCTCCAGCAACCAAACAACCTAGAAATTTGAGCATCCCTCATTCCCTATTAGCTGCCTGGGAAACTGAAATGGTTCCAGGAGCTCCCACAAGTGCTGGCACCCAAGCTTCAAAGTGTCTGACTCAGGAACATGCTACAAACATGGTGCTAATAGAAGAGGCCTGGGAGTAGGTTATTAAAAAATATATATATATATAAATGGTACTAATTTTCAATGATTTTTTCTACTTCTGATGAAAACTTCCAGACCAGCTCAGTCAATTGTTCATTTATCAGATGTTAAAATGGAAGCCAGAGTAGTTAAATTTGCTCACCTCCTGCCCTTTGCTTGCTCAAAACCCTCACTCCTGCAGTGGGAGATGCAAACCCCACTTAATTCACCTCCCACTTCAACAGACACTGGGTACATATCTTGGGTTTCAGAACTGTACTTCAGTGTAGAATTTTAGTTTCCACTGTACAGCTTGTTGCACCGTTTGATCACTCAAGATAACAAACGTTATTAATTTTTGCTGTTCAGGAATGAAGTTTTTGGAAGATTGCCCAGTTCAGCCACTAATTCCATTATATCTGTTGGTGGGTGGAGTGATTGGCAGCTTAAAGGTAATGTGCATTCTATGTGTGAAAAATATTTTGTGTGACTAGACTTTGACTTGCTAGTTAAGACAAAATGATGGCACCAGACAGCTTCGTGCATGCAATATAGAAGACAGATATCTGGATTGAGCTGCACTTTTCCAACACTTAAGGCACCCATCAGCCAAGTGAAATGCTAATGAGTTTCCTTCAGCATTGTCCCATACACTGTGGCATGACTTTCTCTTACAGTATATGTGCCGTCAAACCCACTGATAGAAAAGACTGCATAACATGGCTGGCTATGGGAAATGAAGTCCTATTTCCTCAAACAGTCTTCCAAGCCTCTTTCATTTTCACAGATGTTTGCTCATAGTGCTGCACAGGTTCAATTTATCACACTTCAACGTGATTAGAAGCAATGCCCACACAGTAGCATAGCTTTCAACCCTAAGTAAATGTACCCTTGCATTGCAGCTGGGCCTATTAATCTAGGCACAACATTTTCTAACCATAGCCACCTCTCTTCTAGTGGACCATGCTCATTTATCTTTGCTGAGCCAGCAGAGGATGGCTGCTTGGCTACTTGGCAAGACACACCATACTCATTTCACACCCTGGGCACTATAAAGCTGTAGCTCTGCGATGACTTCAGGGCAAAGGACGGCCCCACTCTTACAGGCCCCTTAGCTAATGCATCCAGGTCCTTTTCTTTGCCAGGACTGAAAGATCGGGACCTCTACATCCCCTGAGCTCCTTCGCAGTTATAACCAAACTGCAGTACAGCACTGGGAAACCAATCATCCCTCTGAGGATCTTCAGGCAGCAAATAAGTAAATGGAGAAGCAAGAAAGTACTTAATCTTGCTATGTGAATGCTATGAGTTCTCCTGGTAAACGTTTAGACATTTGATCACACCTTTGGACTTATCTGTATATTCAAAGGCAATTTCACAATGCTTTATAAAAGATCAGATTTGAAAGGAATCTTCTCAGGCTAATGAATGGAAGCATTCATCAAAAATGCTATTTCTTAGCTGTTGCTGATCTGAAATCACTTTTTATTACCCAGAGTAAGTGAGTCAGTTAATATTTCTACCGACATCAAATAATGGATTGAATTTGGTTTCAGCTGACACAGGACAGTGTTTTTTTCAGGCTGGCAATATATCTGGTCAGAATTTGATTTGGCTAACTTTTGTCATCTCATAGTGCTTAATCTCTAGCTAAATTCCACCGCCTTAGTTCTACCCAGTTGCACTCATGGGACTGCACTGACTGCTACTGGCTTATGGGAGTTGTGCCTGAGCAGTACACTTAGCTAGCTTGAAATCTGAGAGAGATTTATAGACATTCTGAGAATGGGTATAGGATGAGTACAGGATGAGGTCTTGGAAGAACACTGTCCTGTGATAGATGTAATTTAATGACTAGTCATACTGGCTACATGGAGCTGATCTATTTGGTTTTTTCAGCGCCTCCAGTCTTTCAAAAGCTTTGATAACCTGTAGTTGTTCATCAACACAATGCAGCCACTTTACAGTATCTGGAGAGTCTTGCTGAATTCATGCCTTTCTGCTCCATAAGCATATATTCTGCATTATTATCAGTGTGAGGGACAGCCAGAATTTTCTTCAACTACAGCGTGTACAAAGCAGTGTACAGAAGGATACACTTTCTATGGAGTGGTTAGATGGAATAGATGAGATCTATAAATCCAAGGGTTTTTTTCTTCCTCTGAACCAACACTCATCTATCAACTAACCCCATTCCCATCACTGAGCATGATGAGGCTTCAGCACAGGCATCTGCTATGTGCTGAGATCATCTCAAAGCTAACGAGCATCATGGTGCTTAAAGTCAACAAACAGGCTCCCCATATGGAAAACTAAGACCCACTGGGCAGGTAGTTTTTCCTCTCCCAGATGTCATGAGCCTGCCTAAAATAAATGCTCACATGAGAAGAACATGCCTTACTGGTTTGAACAACCAATTCCAAGTTCTCAGCTGTGATGCATGACATTTAGTGGAAACAGCATTTTTTGGCCTGTGTTTGTGCTGGACCTTAATCCCTGTTTCTCTTAACCTTTGCCAACAACTGGGCTAGGAAAACTGGGCTTTTCCAGCAAATATTTAGTCAATACACAATTGAATAGTTCTACAAGGTAGAGCAAGAGAATCCTGTTCTCAGCTGATTCACCTACATGGTAATGGAAAGCAACGAGGGAAGACAAATCCACCCACTACTAGGCAGGAACTTCACTTTGTTCTTTAAAATCTCTAGTGTGAAAACTGCTGCCATTTCCCCACAAAATCTGTTTCCATGCTTTTCTATCGTCCCATTGGCAAGTTATTTTTCCAATGTCTGGCCTAAAAATCTCACCATGGATCTGTCTCATTTTTGGCTCCTCAGATTTCTCTTATCTCATTTTCCCACACTCAATTTTAATTTGGTTCAAAGGCTGGCAGTGGTCAGGAGATGTTCAGACTTTCCACAACCAATTTACTATGCTCTTTTCTCCCCAATGGTTCCAGGTGACTCTGCTGCTGTACGACTCAACCAGGATGAGGCAACTGCTTTCCAAGTCTGTTGTGATTGATGATGATGATGACGATGAATACCCCTGGAGGCAGAATGCTCACAAGTACTACATCCATCTAACCCTCAGCCTCTTTCTCTTCCTCTGGTTCATTCTTGGGAACTACTGGGTGTTTTCAGTGTACCTGCCAAATTTTATCCCACCTTTCCACCAGCCTCAGGATTACTGTGACAAAACCTTGTACATTTTTGCTGTTGGTGTTCTCATTATTAGCCATACTGTTCTCTTCCTCCTCATCTTTTGTAGCTGTTGCATATATTTTTTTTCCAGGCAAAGATACTCTTCAGAGGAAGACTAAGTGCCACGTAAATAAAGCTCCAGATGTTTAGGAAAGGGTGTGCAATGAAAAGGCAATAACTCACCCTTATGTGTATCTTTGTTGTACTACATATATGTATGTTAGCAGTCAACTGCAAGAGGAAATTGTAAATCACATCCCAGTGCCATTTGGAAATAGCTAAACTAGAATACAGCTTACTCAATGTGAAATTGCTGCTACAGATGCCAGGGTGCAGTCTTGCTGACTTCTATAACCCTTTTGTAACTCTTGGATTTTCTATTTGGAGTGTCACATTCTTTAGTAAGCTCTTGGATATGACAAACTCCTCTAAAACCAGACTCCTGGTTTTACAGCATAGTACATATTTGCCTGTAAAAGTAGCCACTTTATCCCCTTTACTGGGACCTGAACACCACTGTAGCCTTGCCGAGGTATGTTAGTGTCCCTGCATTAAAGATGCTGAGGCAACAAAAGATATAGGGCTGCATTCAGACCACTTTGAATTTGGACTTTGACAGTGACTTAGATGCTCATCAGGAAGCCAGCCAGGCCACTGTTAGACCAGCCAGTTAAGTATCTGGGATAGCAGTATGAGCATGTATAAAAGGCAGCTTGAATATGGCCCCAAGATCTCTCCTGAACTTGGACTAGAAAGCATCTGTATCTATCTTTGGTGCTAAAACAGCCTCCATATATCCATGTATATCCAGTGCATCCAAACTGAGCCAAGGCCACCAGGAGATGAGCTACTGAGCAACAGATTAGGTGCTTTAACCAGGACTCAGCAGTTTCCAGCCAGGAGAGACTCATTTCTCCACTTTTTGTATGACATTAATTTGTCTCTACCACACCAAGATGCTTGTCAAACCACGGTGATTAAGTTCACATCAAAATTGATGAGGCTATGTTAGTATCTTAAATATAGAACATGGTAATAAGACATGAGCAGGAATGTGAGAATTTTAGGTGGATGTGCTTACTACAGCAGTTCTCTGGTTGTGGTGTGAGTGCACACCTGAATTGTTCACCGCAGTGCTGTACTTATGGAAATCTATACTTAATGGATAGATGTAACTAATACAGCTTTTAAGCCAACAGCAGTGTCAGCTTTAAAAGCACCAGCATGCTCAGAGACAATTGTTTTGTGACATGTAATGGAACGAGCCCGTACCTGGTCCTGGGAGATTGTTTTTTATGTGCTGATGAATGCAGTATAAAAGTGCTCTTTCTGCTTTTTCTTTTATGCAGATCTGTTAATACAGTCACAGTGGAAGGGCTCTCCTCTACACAAGCATGAGGATGGCCCCAGGCACAGGAAGCAGATGCGGGCTTGGGGTATCTTTTCTGTTAAAAAACAGTGTTTTTAAAAGTGTGTGTTTTAGAGAAAACTAACAGAGCTGTAAGGCACCTGTGGGAGGGCAAGATCTGTTCAACAACAATAACCACAGCTTTGTTCAACCATTCATCCTGGGTCTGAGGCTGAACAATAGAATATCTGTGGAAATCACCTGTGAACATTTATCTCAGAGCCATTGCATAGACTAAGAGTGCATTTGGTCCAGATAGATTTTAATTCAGGTCCCAGCTTTAAGAATTATTTACTTCCAGAAACCTAATCTTAGCAAGCCGGTGGGATAATGGGTAGAAGAGGAAAAATCAGTGTAGCACTTCCCAGCTCCACAGCAGTTATCAGGAGTCAGAGATATGCTGTCCCCGTTCAGAAATTCATCAAATGGAAGTTGCTAACACTGCCACTTGATGCATGCCTGTGTGCAGGGAAATATGAGCAATGGCAGCCTTTCCCTTTATACATGGACTGAAGATCCAGGCTGTGTTTTCCCATGAGCTGCTTCACCCCATGCTCACTACTGCCTCTCTGAAGGTACTACGCATTTCTGAAACATAACTGTTGCCAATAGTGGAATGCTAGAATTCCTCCTTCCTACCCCAAGTATCTCATGGCTCAGCATTTGGACTAGTGGATTTTAGCACAGGCAGATATTCAGTGCTCAGTTCTGAACAACTCTACATGATTCTACCTTCAGTGGAGAGCATATTTCATTCATTAAGATGTCACAGTGTTGAAGAAATTGCATTTCAGCATCTTGACATCCATCCAGCACTTGAATGTAACAAAGCAGCTGTTTAACATTGCACAGGAACCTTACCAAAAAGCATTAAAAAGATTATACTCAGTTTATAATGCAAAGGAAATTTAACACTAAAGTAGCTACAGACATCCATTCCAATCATTGGACTCCAATAAAAATGTCCCTGTTTCTTGTAAAATGCTACTAGGGTCATTTTTGATTACAGAAAATTACTCCTGTGTATGCCAGAACTGACTGCTGTGCCACTACACACCCAGCAACCTTGCAGCAAATGACAGTGTGTATGCTCCTACCCAACCAAATATGATTTGATTTTAGTTTGTCCCACAAAAGAAGAGATTTAAGCTGAGTCTCATTGCCTTGTGTTTTCTGTGTGCCTGTATGAGGGCAGCTGCAGCAGCAGATGAGCAATAATTCATGAAACACACCAGTGACACAACAGTGAGCCTGAGGCCTGTGTCTCATTCAGGCTGAATGAATCTCTGCAGTCAGCTGTGGAGACTTAATTCTTTAGGTATGAGAACCCAGAACATTCACTGACTTTGTGGGAAACAGCTGATAAATCACAATGCCAGTGTTCAGTAGTTGGTTGACTCAAGCTGAAAGTAATAGAGGAGGTATTAAGGAAGCTAAGGGCAGTTGTAGAATACTTTAAATATCTATACGGTAAACAGAAAACTTTGTTAAGATTGAGGGAGGAAAATTCGGAATTGTTGGTATTTAACTTTACTTACGTACGTGAATAATCTGTTACACTGCCACTGCCTCCTTCAGCAGGATAGAATCACGCAGGTGTGGAGCAAGGACAGTCAGTTTGGAGCATATGATGCATACCACTGTGTTATGGTGGCTTATTAAGTTATCATCATTCTCCTGGTCCGTCACCTTCAGCAGCATAAGTCCTTGGATTGCTCCTAACATTCGATAAAGCACTCAGTTTAAATTCACATGAAGGTAGTTTAACTGAAAGCATTTTATCTCCCTTTGGAGTAAGCTAGGAACGTGGTCTTCAGCACCTTACCTTGTAAACAGTAACTTCTTAAATTCACAGAGTGATGGTGTCCCAGGCATGGATGAGCTCAGTCCCTGGAGGAACAAATACATTCCCTCAGCAGACTGCTGTGAGGAACTAAATCATTACAACCCTAAAGCTGAAAGGCTGAAAATACAGTCTACGCCTTGGTATGAAAATGTTTAACATTTTCCCACTAGACTAAAATTACAAATTGAAAAATGCCATTTTTTTTCTTTTTCTTTTCTTTTTTTCTTTCTTTTTTTTTTTTTTTTCCTACAGTGAAATAAATGGCTTTGGGAAAATTGAACAAAATACACCCTTAAGCCAATTATGATGAACTCAGAAATGTAATGACTACAATGGTGAAAATTGCCTGTAACCATTCTAGTTAAATCATCTCTCCTTTTTGAGAAACAAAGCTGTCTTTCTAGCTTTCAACAGAAGAAATAGCCACGGTTTCAATGGATTAGATTGCCTGTGCTCTGCTAGTTGTGGGTACTATGGAAATCCAACAATATGAAGACACAAAGATATTTCTGCTTGCACAAAGAAGACTACAGACATATACATACCATAAGTGCAATGGCAGCAGACATGCAATACATTACATTTATTACATTTTATTGCCCACAGTATATTTCTCCTCCCTCCACTCCACCTTCTTTGGCAATAGGTATCATATTCCAAAGCTCTGAGGAACAGCTTCCCAAAGCTGTTTTAAAAGCTGCAGACAGATAAGTAAATATCTTATTCCTTCATTTCAAACTTGAACACACATAGCTCTGGAGTGCTACCTGCTGACCCACAGAAGTAGGGAAGAAGGACATCAGACATGTCACAGACCTCATCGCTGGAGTAGAAACAAGAACTCATTCTGTTCAGGAATAAAAATAGGAGATTGCTCTCACAAGGCAATTGGTTCAGATTTTATGAGGCCCCAAGACATCAGACTTGTACAAAAGTACAAGGTGACTGTGCAGAAAATAATAAAAAAAGTAGCAGAAGTTATTCTTGGTTAGTTCAAAAGCTGTTTTACATGTTTCAGGTCTGGCTGAGCAAGAACCTGGAGCTTAAACTGAGGGAAAAGAAAGAAATGTACAGGAAGTGGAAGCAGGGTGCCTGGGAAGAATATAGGGACATTGTCTGCATGTAGAAATATGATTAGGAAAGCCAAGGCACAGACAGAGCTGAACTTGGTGAGGGATGTGAAAAATAACAAGAAGGGGTTCTACAGGTACATAGGCAGGAAGAGACAGGCCAAGAAGAACGTTCCCTCTCTGATAAATGAGGATGGAGAACTGGCTTCCTCAGACATAGGAAAAAGCTGAGGTACTCAGTGAGTTGCTATGCCTCAGTCTTCACAGGTGGCCAGGCTTCCTGTGTCTGCCAGGACCCTGAATCTCTAGGCGTGGGTGAGAGGAGTGGATTCCACCCCAATATAACAGTGGAACAAATCTGAGACCTCCACATATAAATCCATGGGACTGGATGACATGCATCCCAGGGTTCTGAGAGAGATGGCTGATGTGGTTGCTGAGCTGCTCTCCATCATATTTGAAAAATCATGGCTGTCAGGTAAAATCCCTGGTGACTGGAAAATGGAAAAGTTACTCCCATTTTTAAGAAAGGGAGAAAGGAAGACCCGGGGAACTACAGGCCAGTGAGCCTCACCTCTGTGCCTGGGAAGATCATGGAGCAGAACCTCCTGGTTACCACATTAAGGCACATATGAGATGAAGAGGTGATCACAGAATCACAGAATGGCCAGGGCTGGAAGGGACCTCAAGGATCATGAATCTCCAACCCCCCTGCCACAGGCAGGGCCACCAACCTCCTCATTTACTGCTAGACCAGGCTGCCCAGGGCCCCATCCAATCTGGCCTTGAACACCTCCAGGGACGGGGCATCCACAACCTCTCTGGGCAGCCTGTTCCAGCACCTCACCACTCTCTCTGTAAAGAACTTCCCCCTGACATCCAACCTAAATCTCCCCTCCCTCAATTTAAAACCATTCCTGCTTGTCCTGCAGTTATCTACCCTTTCAAAGAGTTGATTCCCCTCCCCTCTGTAGGCTCCCTTTAGGTATTGAAAGGCTGCAATGAGGTCACCCCACAGCCTTCTTTTCCCCACAGCCCAGCTCCCTCAGCCTGTCCTCATAAGGAGGTGCTCCAGTCCCCTGATCATCTTTGTGGCCCTCTTCTGGACCCTCTCCAGCAGCTCCCTGTCTTTTTTGTACCGGGGACTCCACACTTGGACGCAGTACTCCAGATGGGGCCTCACAAGAGCAGAGTAGAGGGGAACAATCACCTTCCTGTCCCTGCTGGCCACCCCTCTTTTGATGCAGCCCAGGATACCATTTGCCATCCGAACCACAAGGGCACACTGCTGGCTCATATTAAGTTTTTCATCTATTAAGATCCCCAGGTCCTTCTTCACAGGGCTGCTCTCAAGGACCGCTCCTTCCACTCTGTATGGATGCCTGGGATTCCTCCGGCCCAAGTGCAAAACTCTGCACTTTGCTGTGTTGAACCTCATCAGGTTCACCCGAGCCCACCTTTCTAGCCTCTCGATGTCCCTCTGAATGGCATCCCATCCTTCAACCGTGTCGACTGCACCACTCAGCTTGGTGTCGTCAGCAAACTTGCTGAGGGTGCACTCGATTTCGGCATCGATGTCATTGATAAAGATGTTAAAGAGCACCGGTCCCAAGACAGACCCCTGGGGGACGCCACTTGTTACTGGCCTCCACCTGGACATAGAGTCTGGAATGGGTCCAGAGGAGGGCTACTAAGATGATCTGAGGGCTGGAGCACCTTTCCTATGAAGAAAGGTTGAGGGAACTGGGCTTGAGAAGAGAGGGCTCTGGGGAGACCTCATTGTGACCTTCCAGTACTTGAAGGGAGCATATAAACAGGAAGGGGAACAACTGTTTACATGGATTGATAGTGATAGGACAAGGGGGAATGGTTTCAAACTGAGACAGGGGAGATTTACATTAAATATTAGGAGGAAGTTTTTCACACAGAGGGTGGTGACACACTGGAACAGGTTGCCCAAGGAGGCTGTGAATGCCCATCCCTGGAGGCATTCAAGGCCAGGCTGGATGTGGCTCTGGGCAGCCTGGTCTGGTGGTTGGTGACCCTGCACATAGCAGGGGGGTTGAAACTAGATGATCATTGTGGTCCTTTTCAACCCAGGCCGTTCCATGATTCTGTAATTCTATAAAAAGGTGAATGGCGAGTGCAAATGAATCTAAATGCTCTGACTTTACAGGCAAAGGGCTACGAATCTTAAATCCGTGACAATTTCTATACATTCTATCACATTTTAACAGATCTGTAGATATCTGTATCTGTAAGATACCTTGAATCTTGTAACTGATTCTGATTATTAATCTTCCCCAAGTTCTAGCTGATAGGGACACAACAAAGACCATGCATGTTCTGCAGATAATACAGACAGGACTGTTACATCAGGAATGTCATCTGAGATTGTTGCTTCTTGCAACAAGGTTTCTTAGGGTTCCTGTTCACTACAGGAGTAATATGAAAGTCCCATGGATGTTAGCCATAAGGAGAGAGCCAAAATATTTTTAGAAAGCATAGATAGGGGGAAAATGAAAAAGGCTGACAAATATAATTGTACATTGCATAGTACAGGGAAATAAAGTACAAGAAAACTGCTGAAAAGAACAGTATTATGTTGCAAGAATAGATTTTTGAGAAAACTGTATGAAGTTCTAAGAAATGTTTTTAACACTGAATTTCTATGAAATGTCTAATTTGAATGAAATACAACAAGGAAGACATTGACCAACATGAGTGCACAAGCATACATGATTTAAGGTTAAAAACTAAAAGTACTTTAGTAGACGTGCTAGTTATAATCAACTCTACTGCAATTTCACTGAGATGAATTGTTATTTCAGAGGCTGATTTCACCCACAGATTTGAGTCTAAGCCATACTGACTCTTCTGTATGACCATTAATGCTAAAGCAAAGCGGAAATCTATGATATTTTTCCCCATGCTACAATCTAACAGTTCAAATGTGAGAGGTGTCCTGAGATGCAAATTATGGGCCTGAGGGACAATGTATGCAAAAGGTTTTTTTATAAGGAGATCCTCCAGATTTCCACATCAGTTAGGTACCTGCATATCTTGTAGATTTGATTCTCAGTCCTTTGGAGGAAAAAGTTACTTTTCAGTACTGAGCAGAGTATGCAGGGTGCAAACAGTGGAGAAATTATGACACACTGGCACAGCTGCTTCTTGAGCACAACAAGCTACTTGGCCTAGAGAAAGCCTGATTTCATTGGAAACAACCCTGCTGAAGACAGGAGCTTGCAAACTTATTAATGACTTGGGTACAAAAGCATACAAAAAAGAGAATACCCTGCTGCTCCCCAAAACAGTCAGAACTTTGACCCCTGCTGCACTCAGGATGAGTAGCTTTTCTACTCCCACTCTGCTAATCACACCTACACATA